TAAAATATTGTGATGCTAGCAATGAAGGATTGTGATCTGTACTCTCCCAGGTGCAAGATCGTACAGAAAGTGTTGTTTGTTATTACAGTAAGGCTTTCCCTTCAGCTGAGAGGAAGTATTGTATAACTAGAAGGGAACTTCTAGCTATGATAACATCAATTAAAAACTTTCACCATTATCTGTATGGAAGAAAGTTTCTAGTGCGAACCTTGTACAAATTGAGATCTCGCTTTTCGTGGTATGGCATGAGATCTGACGTAAAATATTGGGTAAATTGCTATGACATTTGTTCGTCAAGGAAAAGACCGGCGCATAAACCTAAGGCCCCGCTGAAATTATATTGTGTAGGAGGTCCCATGAAAAGAATTGCCATGGATATCATGGGACCCTTGCCACTGACCCTCAATGGGAATAAATATGTCCTAGTTGTGGGCGATTATTTAACTAAGTACACTGATGCGTATCCTATCAAAGATACAACCGTTCTCACAGTTGCTGATACTCTGATAGAAAGATTTGTGACTCATTTCGGTGTGCCTCTTTCACTGCATACAGATCAAGGACCGAACTTTGGCTCCAAGGTATTTGCCTCTATGTGTCAAACCTTAGCCATTCACAAGACTCGAGCTACCCCTTTTCGCCCACAATCTGACGGAATGATTGAGAGGGCAAATCAAACAATAAAAAATATGCTTACCGCCTTTGTAAATGAAAACCAAAATGATTGGGATAAATACTTACCTATGATAATGATGGCTTATCGTTCATCCATTCATGAATCAACTGCAGTAACCCCAAACAAAATAATGTACGGAAGAAAGATAACTCTTCCTGTTGATTTGGTTTTTGGCACACCTGAAATGATAAATAGAGATAATTATTCATTAGATTTTAATTGTGCGTATGAATTAGAACAAAAATGAATAGAATACATAATTTTGCAAGAGGTCGACTAAATATGTCTGTTCATCATGACAAATTAAAACGATATGATGGTAACTGCCCCCCCCCACCCCCAACATGGCACAGTCTGTAAATATCTGTAATTTATTTATTGTATATAAAGATGTAATATTAATGATTATTAATTGACAACTTTTCACTTACCTGTATGTTTTCACTCGCCTGTATATACTACGATTTCGTATGAAACTTTATTTTTCATTTAAGTTTACTACTTACACCTGCCGTGTATGTGGGGAATACACTTTTGATAGAAAATCTGCTGGAAGGCGACATCTGGTTGAGCAACACAGTGGCATTGGATTTCGCTGTTTGCTCTGCAAGGAAGTTTTTATGAGGCGCCAGCAGAAGAGGAGGACTTGTCTCATTTCATGACCACGATTGACGAGAAGATCCTACCAATACAGGAGAGGCAATTGACTCTATCTATGGAAAAGAGGAAGCGTGACAGCCCTCCTCCACTGTCCACTAGCATCAGAAAAAAAGCCGAACACCATCAGTCCCTGTATCTCTCTTCAGTCCTCCCCCAGGCAGTTACAAGAAGACAACAGTGACACATTGTCTCTCTATGCAGAAGGTGTTTCAACTGTAGATGAAGAATTGGGGTTCGAGGAATATATTCCACAAACCGTACAAAACCTGCCATCCGAGGAGGAACCAATGCCACACCCTTGCCCAGATGTAACCAAAGCTACACTAATGTAGTTGAATCGCATCGTGTTGAATGTTAGGGGAACCAAGTATGATACCACCCAGGAGACGCTGTTAAGTGTACCCGATAGTTTTTTTACATTTCTTTTCAGGGTTGAACCCACTGCCTCCGCCCCTATCACGTATTTTATTGATAGGGACCCAGCTCATTTCCGACATGTGCTGAATCATTTGCGCCGTGGGGGTGCTTCAAAGCCCCAAACCCTCCCCAAGGAACCCCGGTTCTTGGAGGAGCTCATTTTTGAAGGTGAATTTTTCATTCTTCCAAAACTTGTTCAAATAGCCCGGGTCCGTGACAGTTGACCTTACTGCCTACCTGTTTGGGTACCAAACCTGGATTGCGAGGGGGGCTGTGTTACGGTCCAGTAACACACCCATCATATTATATATTTTATTATTATTAAATTATTTATTGTTTTACTGGGAACATACCCATGTAGTGCATTATTTGTTATAAAGTATTTGTATTAGAACGTGCTTTTCTTTGTTAATGGGGGGATCACGTGGCTAAGTGGGTAAGACGCTGGCTCGCTAGCCTGGAGGTCGGGTGTTCGATCCCTGCATTGGCCGAGAAAGTTCATCCAGATTTTCCAGCATGGTTCCCGCTTGTCAGTGATGCAGGAAGGGGGCCTGACAAGGACAGCTGTCTCCTTCGGATGAGACGAAAAACCGAGGTCCCGTGTATATATTGGAATGCACGTAAAAGATCCCCTGGCAGTTGGAATTCGATATAAGAGTAGGCGATAGTGCCGCTGCCCGGGCAAAATTTCCCTCATAGCACACTGTATGGCGTATGCCCGTCTTCATTAGCCCAGTATAGGAGCAGAACAGTAGGACGTTAAACCCCATTTCATTTCTTTGTTAATGGATTCACTGGTTTGTTTACCTTTACGAACTTGTTCTCCCCCGCGTTACAAATGGACTGCGCCATTTTTGTGCCACGCGTTTTTCTTCGCCGGCTGCAAGTAGCCGATAAGTGCCGTGAACCAATGAATCGATGGGCTACATTAGTAGGCCCAAGTACTAATACCTGCGCACCAATAAATATATTTATGACTTCGATCGAAACATCAACGAACCGACAGTCTGTCAAATTGACTAGCGACGACTGTTGGTTGCGTGATACAACGTTGGGGGTAATATGACGTCAAAATTTGGTGACGTAATATGGTGCGCTGTACGACTATGTTATCACTTGGCCTTTGCAACTCATTGTGTGTGGACCTACGCATCATATTATACTAGTGAGATTTATCATGGCGCAAGCCGCATGCAACACGCCTTCTCTGGTAAGGGATTAATTATATTATAGTAGATTGTTTAACCTGTGCCTGTTGTGGAGCCTAATTAAGCTTCTTGTGATTTATAATAATAATTTCGGTGTTTAGCAACATTATTACCGTGCCTTTGACTTTGTTTGTCCTTTGACCTCCAAGTCTAACTGTGAGTTGACGTTTGGCTTTGACTCCATACATTTACACACCTATCTTGCCCTTTTTATCCAAGGTGTTTTGCAATATTAACATATAGAACATTGAGATATAATTGATTAACCAGCTTTGCCTGTAGAACCTAAAGTGGTATTACAACCAGTCATTGGTGCTACAAAACCTGGTGTTTCAAACCGAATCTGGTGCGTGCCTGAATGATCTGGGTGCCTGGACACAAACCTGGTGTTTTGAACCTAATCCGGTGCACAAGATATAAACCTGATTATTAATGTTACATAAGATATTGCGATTATTATTGGCAGCAAGGTTTCTAGCGGAAATGCCGCAGGGAGTTGGGGAGCGTAAATAAGGTGGTCTGGTACCGAATTTGGGCACTAAAGGGGGATAACTCCTCTTGGGCTTGATATTTTTATTTACAGGAAAACCGTACCAATTCAAAAGTTCCTGAATCGTGTATCGCGTACACCAAGTATACTGATATATTCACAACTTTAAAAAATAAGTACCGGTACCAATAACTATTCTCAACGTGGAACTAGTAAAACTTTTAACTTCAATGTACATTTTTAAATATTAAATATTAATTATTAAATATTGTATTACTTATTAAATATATTTATGTAATAAAGTTTGTGTTGTTAATAATTGAAGTACTCTGTTATCTGTTCGTGTCTGGGTTATTGCAGGGGGTCTTCACGTACAGCTACAGAACGCCCGCAAATACGTTGGTTGCCAGCCGGAGGGTTGGTCGCGCAACAATAGTCACCACAAAAGACAAACCGGTCTCAATTCACTTTAACCAACCAAATCATGACATTTTATATCTCATCGTCACGCCAATAGAAATGACTAAGAGCGATCTCGAAACCACAAAAGAAATTATAACGTTTAGGCTAACAGGAGAAAAGTTCTGGATTGACAAACTGAAAACAACAGTCCCCCTAGGTTTAAATATTCATACGGCTAGCGCAATAGCCCCCTTTGTAGTCCCAGTGCGTCCAAAACCATCAGAAAACACTATATTGATATCCAGGAAAATCACCCCAAAAATCTTCACACAGAAACTTATAATTGCATATTCTAAAAATAAAAATCTGAACGACATCTTAATGCACAGTAAATTAGACTAAATAAGACCAGTCCTCACCTTAACCCAAAACAAACAATATATCACACCCTAGCCTAACCCTTATTAAATAAAATCCAATTCTTAGTAGGAAACACACGAAGGTGCCTCTCACCCGAAATAAAAATACCAGAATACTACAAGCACTACCTAAGGAAGACCATCAGCGCCACCAACACCAAAAACAGTGAAAACAATTTAAAAGTCAATTGATTGTGCGTATTTTTATGTCAGTGCTTATGTGGAGACTCAACCTATCCCCCAAATTCTTAAACCTAACCTCCAATCTCACTAATAGTTACGTGTCCCAGCCCTATTTAGATTTCAGCGACCATGATGAAGTATTAAGTTGGCCTTAAGAAATAGATCCTGTCCCTTTCCACCCGGTACCATGGGAGAGGGGAGGGGAGGTGGTATGATTCCAGATCCCGGAGATAGCGGTGGCTGCTATAAACAGAAAAAACTACCACTATATTTACTGTATAGTGACTAATGAGACTAATTGAGTGGAATAATATGATATGAAAATAATATGAAAATTTCAACATTGAAATAAGAATATCTTTACTGTATGTCAATAAATGAACCAATAGTTATGCTATCCGGATTCAACGACATCGTGCAGGAATGCGAGAATTAAAATTGTATATGGAATTTTAATTTCTAGCGACAAAACGACAGGAAGAAAATTAAGTGAAATGATATTTATATTTGGTTATGATGCAGAAAGGAAGAAACTTATTTGACACACACTTTTCATTTGTCGTTGTCTTGTCAGAGGCCTAGTTGGAAAACGAATTAGTTGCACCACTAGTTAATATATTCGGCATTTAAAGCTCCCCGCTAGATGTCTACAATGTTAGCGCTACATCTATTTGGTTTGTTTGTGTGTCTCTTTTTGAGACAGCTTACGGTAAGTAGTTGGTTTCCACACTAAAACAGAAAAAAATGTTCTCATGGTGAATCTATTTTCATGGTTAATCTAACTACACGTTGTGAACTGATTATTATGAATGTAACAAGAAAGAGTTATGATCTTACCTCAAATATGTTTAGTAATCAATTTTGTAATGACGCGGCATTCAATTTTGCAACTATACTTTGATTTCGCAAAATTTGATGTTCGTAATAAACCAGTTTTCAATAAATGAAATGAAATTGGTTTATAACGTCCTACTTTTATGACTAGTGGTATGACAGATTCACGACTTGGAAGCCATGGTTTGTAATTCTAACCAATACTTTTAGGGTTATTTTTGTTTTGCTTTGCTTGTAAATACGATTTGTATTTAGAATTTAGATTGGGGAGCAGGCTTGGCATATGCGTGACTCCTAGAAACAGGTATCAAACGCGCACATATGTATGCATAAAATCAAAATGTCCATTCGGCTGGAGAGCTTCACATATTTGTTTGTTTGGAACTAAAATAATGGAACCTTCTACAACCAATGAACCTTTTTTATTCACTAAAATGATCTGGAATGTTCGTACTAATAGATAAAATATTCGCCACAATGAGTGCCACGCCAATAAATACAGTCCTTTCAATGTAGACGGACATACCTCATGCAGTTTGCTACGGCCTACTCTTATTTAGAAATGGCTTGCGACAATGTATCCTCGGAACAACGGTTTTTGTATTATCCGAACGACTAGCTACTGTTCCTTGCCAGGACCTCCATCCTGCACTACAGACACGGGGATACCACCAGGGGCGGATTGGGCCATCGGGCGATCGCCCGAAGGGCCGGTCGGACAAAAAATGAACAAAATAATTTTGTCCAATTCGTCAAAATAACCTATTTCTGCTGAAAACATTATATGGGGTTGGGTGGGGGAGGGGGTATTGGACCGGCCATGGAGCTATGATGATCATGTTGTATGTGGCTGGTGGCTTTAACGGGCCGCCACGCCTTCACTGGAGTCTGGAATGGGCTGGTATAATAGACTTTCTGGGCCGGGTGTGCTGGGTGTGGGCCGGAATTCGGAATCCTGCATTTTTTAATGAAAATATTCCTACTTTTTCAATATCTCTAACTGGTTAATCAAATGCTCAAAATTTTCTCAACTAGTCCCATTTTTTAACCAGTTAAATACTCTTGACCCTTGACGATACAATGATGACACGTTACTTAATAATATGACGATATGATAATTTCACAGGTTGATGGTTGTAAATTACTTGCAGGTCGGGGTTTGGGCCTAAATTAATCGATTTATGAGATATATTATTTGACAGAGATTATAATCAGATATGCCATCAAATCGCATATTTGAGGTTCATTTTTCAAAATTTTCCCGATGGAGAGTCACCGCCCCCCCCCCCCCGTCCGGGCTCCGCGGTCAGTAAAAGGGGGCCGCTCCGACACGGGAGCCCGGGCTGGTTCCCGGCCCCAATCCGCCCCTGGATACCACGCCGGAAAAATCCGAGGATCATTCTCGGCCAAAGTCGTACTCCTGGTTATCGAGTCAGGGCCTTACTCACTTTGCAAACGCCGCCCACACAGTCGTTACAAACATTTTAACATGCTATACTGGAATTCACTTTCTTTCATCGCAAACCTTCTGCTATAATATTTTTTCGTAACTAGATCTGTAGAGGAGATCTGCGTTAAATTATTTAAGCTGAAAAATTAGAAGGGCTAATGAATATCCTTTAAATATATTTATTAATTGCATTGTTTATATATTAAATTCCATTCATATCTCGTGTTATATCCGATACTTATTATATATCTTCTTAATTTACTTAACACGATAACCAATTCATAATAATCGGAAATTCTCACTTACAAAGTACGTAAGTAATACTTACCCATTCCCAAAAATATTAAGTAATGTGATCTTTTTTCCGGTAAATTTGACCCAAGATACTATCATCCGCTTTTATGTAGGAAAACCATATTTCGCTATTATTAGTTTGGGATTTGCAATTTGAGATGAGTGAATGTGGGATAAGATATGATTATTATATAATTATTGTTTAATGCACAAGAATGCTAATAGTAATTTATCTTATTTCAATTGAACAAAAATAACAGTTAGAAGATTGCAAACGAGAAGATTAAATAAAACAAATCCCAAGTTTGATGCAACATGACCACCTTCTTTATGCATAGAAACGGATTATTCCCAGAATAAGACACAGACTTATGAAAGTAATCGAATATAATGGTGACTTTATATAGATATAACGTGGCTTTGGATTTAGCGATTTTAATAGGTCTTTTTAAATAATACAGTATGTGAATTGACCACAGTTTAACGTGCCAAGTATTTAATTAATGTGAATATTTGCGCTTGTACATTATGGAATATTTATAAACTATGCTCATTCGACTATAGTACATATTATAGGTAGATGAACTGCAATGTAAATTAAAGCAATGGAATATAACACAGCCCTTGTTTTCCGTATAGTTTGCTTTTAAAGGTACATATTCGACTATGGTATGAGTGTACATTATAAGTCATTCTCGTTATCCCACTGGTATCGTTCCGTTCTACTCCACTAACCTATGGGTCCATCCACGGTGGCGAGACTTGGTGAAGTTATCAATGAAGTAACCGAGGCTACGAGCGATGGGAAGATTTATTTAGTGACCGAATAAATAAATCACTCCAAATTAAAACAAGACTGGTTGTTCAAAAATTTTGAGCATGTTTCGGCTAATCAAATATTTCAAAACAAAAGGGAAGGACGAGTTTCCGATATCGGAATCATTTTAATCATATAAATAATTTGAGAATGTCCGACCTCTGTATACCCAAGCTTAGATATTTGTTTTATGTATTCATATGGATAAAAAATAATGAATAGCATTATTGTTTCAAAGGGTATTCCAATCATAAATATAAAGTGTCAGATTTCAGAGTTTATCAAGAAACAAATAACAAAATGACATTCATATGACAAAGTAGTTTAAAATGTTTCATAAAGAATAAACATACGTAAACGACACAAATCACTCTACAATAACTACCGAAAACGCTATCAGGGGAACATATAAACACAATAATCTTTTAGAGAATAACTAGATAGAGAAATACACAATAACATTATACCTATGGAAAAACAGCTACTTATTTAGGTTGGCGACGTTATCAAGCTAATACAATAATACAAATCTGTGATGCAAATAGGTTTGCTGTATATATTTGCATCACAAATTTGTATTACTGTATTAGCTTGATAACGTTGAGAGAATACTCTTCGAAACGTTCCCCAAATAAATAAGTAGCTGTTTTTCCATAAGTAACAAATGACGCTCATTTGAAAAAGTCGTGTAAATTTGTCCAGAAAACAAACATACGTACACGATACCAATTACTATATACGATAACAATAGAGATCGGTTAAATGCAGAAACATCAGTGGAAAATAAACATCCATGTAAGTTGTGTGAAATGATATTGAGAGGCAAGTCCAAATTTAATGTGAGGTTGTCCTGCCCGGCGGTATCTTTAATCACTGAATGCAGACTTATTCAATTATAATATATGCTATATATCTGTAATTAAGATTAAAATCTCCACAGAATCTTCTATTTCTATTTCGTTTCATGAGGTATTGCATGAACTGCGAATCGTAGGATAAGAGGGACATTAATCAGCGAATGAAGGAACACCGTTCATGCCCAAATGAATACCAATTGCTTCCTGAAAAATTTCCTTTCCGCAATCGGTATAGATAAATTGCCTAAAAGGAATTTTAACATTATCGCAATGCTTTCCTCGGTATATTTATACTTGGTTCCGGAGTGATAGATTTCGAACGGATGTTAAACTCTTGCCGGTGCGTCATTTTAGCGCTATATGAATCATTATTCTGACAGATGAGTCTCAGATATGAATATCGGTCAAAACATGGCTCAATTTCGTGCAGTACTCACCCAGATAATGTAGTTTTGTATTGATAGACCTGTCTTTACTCTGATTGACCCGGGGGTGAGGATGGCCGAATGGTTAGCACGTGCGCGCTGTACTATAAAGTCTGTTATTGAGTCAACTAGCGTGGTTTCGAATCCCCGGTTTTACGTGGGGGGTTGTATGGTCATTGAGTCAACTGCCGTGGTTTCGAATCCCCCGTTGTACGTGGCAAGGAGTTGGGTCGCCTGTCCATCCTCGTGGGTTTTCTCCGGGTCCTCCAGTTTCCTGTCACGCTAAAGTCACCTACACGCAAGCGAATTATTGAAATTAAATTGAACCATATGATAGTCCCGAAATGACTGAGATTATGTCGAGTGGACGTTAAACCCATTTCTCTCTGCCCCGAAAAGCTTGGGTACCGCGAAAAGAATCTTTTCAACACCCCTGTCAAGTGACGTAGTGAATATGATATGGCGAAAATGTTTTTTGTTTTCAGCTTGTTTCAACAAAGGGAGTGATTAAAGTTGAACTCAATAGGTTCAGTAACCCTAATGGCAAAACATATAGGAGTGACTGTTGTGATGGTCCGAAGATATTTGGTGTATGTCAGTCTAAATGTGACCATCGCTTTATAGTTTGCTTAGATCATGCAGATGGGTAAGTAATTTAACATTATTTAGAACAAACACTCCGTTTCTTTTCTGACGTAGACATATTTTGTTGAATAAATCTGATTAATGCTGAAGCCCTATTCACGCCTTGTTGGTATTTGACCCAGGTGGCGCTACCGTTGTGATCCGGCGTGAACCGTAGGTCGCACGATGGTTATAAAACATTGAAATATTAAAATGGTCTCGTTTCGTCCCACTTTAAGAACCCGGGCAGATTGAGACGATGCTTGGAATTTGTGACCTAGGCTGAACTCTGCAGTCTTGGTATAAAACGACACCAGATAGTACCACAGCAGTTGTCTGTGATGGAAGCGGTTATTAAATAAAGCTTTTTCACACAATATCGCGCTTCGAGCTCTCGTGGTTTTACTCCATGTATTCGTGTGCTAAGATAAGACAATTTTTCTGCGATATCACCATCGAAGGAAGCTGAGTTAAATACAGTTATCATTAATTTTGTGTAAACTGTACATTTTGGCACATTTCTGGAGATATATCTGTAAATTGTTTCAATCGCATTTAGTAATTGAACTGGATTTTACAGGTTATCCCATCTATGGAATACAATTACTGCTTAGAGCGACGTTTCGGCTCGGCTTCTCTAGTCATCTATACTAATATATGTGACTGTCGTTTGTCTGTCTGTCTGTTTGTCTGTCTGTTCGGGGTTGGCGGCTACACTAGGTCTGCCCCAAGTCTGAAATTTGGGGTATAGGGGTAGCTCGGACCGGGGAGTAACATAGGCCAGGTGGCGTTAGTCTACCACTTCCAGTTTCGGGGTTATGACCCCCGAGCGAAGCCGGGCATTCTTCTAGTTATCAATAATAATGCTCAGTAATAAGCAGTAATCGTATTCCATAGAATTGTGACCTTTACATATACCTGTAATAGTGTATTGATATGATAGTTGTGTTTATCAGGTCACCCATTATTTGAATTTTAACCCATCTGTATCATTCATAATCAATGAATTCTGGGATGTATGTGTGGATTTTAAGAATATAGATGAAGCTGTGGCCATTGTTTAAGATCTACAGCTGAATAGGAACAACCTGTGATGTTTTCTTAGTTAATGCCCGACATAAAATTCAAACACGCAGAAAAGTACAGGAATTTATACAAAAATGCCGATTGTAACTAATACTATGTTTAACTTAATGAGCCAAAATGATTGATACTATATAGTTTCCTTTAGAGACGGATTTGAACACACTAGCATCATAATTTCCATATGACAAGAACACGTCATGCAACACTGGTCTATATGGACCTGTTTTAGGAAAACGTCATGTAACATCGGTATATAAAGAACAGGTTTTAGAACACGTCATTTGACACTGGTCTATATGGAACTGTTTTAAGTACATGTCAAGTGACACTGGTCTATATTGAAATGTTTTAAGAACTGGTCTACATGGAACTGTTTTACGGACACTTCATGTAAGATTGGTCTATATGGATTTGTTTTATGAACACGTCTTGTGATACTGGTCTATGGAACTGTTTTTAAGAATACGTCATGTGACACCGGTTTAAGTTGAACTGTTTTAAGAACACGTCATGTGACACTGGTCTATTTGGAACTGTTTTTTTGTTAAGTACACACCAGCGTTTTTGTAGTGATTTTGTAATGGGCATTGATCGAGTCTTATTTTACAGTAAGGTAAAAAGTCCACCAGTGTGTTCATATGGTGAAATAGATACAGGAGAAATAGAGAGAAACCGAAATGTCTTTACGTCGTTTGGGAAAAGGATTGGAAGAGTTAGTAACCCTATGGTATTTAATTTGGAAGAATTGCCGGTAGGTACACCTACTACTAGAATTGTTACTGTATGTTTTATTTAACCCAATTGAATTCAAATTCCAAAAATGATAATGAGTATAAAATGAATGCGTGTTTTTCGAAGATAAAGATGCATATGCTATTGATAAGAAATGTTGTTTTTTATACCTGAATAAATGATGAATTTCGAATCCTGGAACAATCCGGAACAGAGATGGCGAGAGTACCCCGAATGCATATTGGTATATTTTAAATATTATTATAATACATTAACTTGTTTTCGTTCTTACAGCCAAAACTTGTTTTGAAGATTTATGCTTACGACATGGACGACAGTACGTCTGACGTTATCATGATATTTTATTCCATCGAAACAATTACGGTTGGTAAAGAAAAGCCTTTATTATGGAACCGTTTAAGTTGGGCAACGTAAGTACAGGTTGCTGCATTACTAAATTTTATCATCACATTTACATGTATGTAAGATACGTTTCGCATCGTGTTAGTTTCCGTATGACATATATTGAATTTCCCAATTCAATGTTGATTATGTTGTGAGAGAGGACCAAGAGAGAGAGAGAGAGAGAGAGAGAGAGAGAGAGAGAGAGGGTAACGATCACTCGATACACAGGTGTCTTTTCAGGACTAACATAGCAAGGTTCAGTTTTATTTCAACAATTCGCTTGCGCGTATTTGTATTTAGCAGTAGTCTGAGTAGCCTGACAAAACCCACGCGAGAGAGAGAGAGAGAGAAAGAGAGAGAGAGGTGTGGGGGTAGCTGGGTGTCATTTCGGGACTAACATAGTAAAGGCCCGGTCCCAGTGGCCGATGGACACAAAACGTATGCAAAAAGGACACAGCGGACGAGCAAACTTTCGGGGTGGCTCAATCCGTTTTCATTCGCTCCAGAAATGGACAAAATTGACGAAAATTTGCGAAAACAGAACGGAAAAGAACGAACGTGGGAAGTATGTAGCGGGGATTTTAAATGGATGTTCATCGGAAGCCTAGCGGATGAAAGCGGATGGAAGTGGATGACAGCTCCGAAGGGGTTAGGCAAACTCCAGACATCCTTCAATATACCAGATACATTCCAGATACAAACGCTTTGTCCGTTTTGAAAACTTTATATACGAGATGCATACGCTAACATCATTTCTATTTCCGTGCTACTAACGATGTATAGACGTTCCATGTACCTTATCTTTCCTCCCTCTTTCCGTTTTCAGCTGGAGCGGATGTGAGTTGCGAGGATGCCCAGAGGATGCAGAGAGGATACAGTGGACGTTTAACGGATGATAACGGACATGGAACGTTTGGTGCTCGTATATGTCGCGCATTTACATCGTATACGGCAGAAAGTTCATCCGTTATAAAAGTTTTGTGCAGCTCAAAACTTTTTGCGCGGATGAAATCAAAGTGAACGGATGCTCGATGGATAGAGCGTATGAAACACGTATGCAATGAGTACACAACGGATGCATGGCGTTTTCAAACGGAGGGCACGTTGTTTTCCCCGTTTTACACACTCTTTGCATCCGTAAGTGCAGTGGGACCGGGCCTTTAGGTTCAATTTTATTTCAACAAATCGCTTGCGCGTATTTGTCTTTATCAGTTGGTGAAACCGGAAAACGCTGAAAAAAACCCACGATAACCCCACTCCATGTCCCTCACAATCGAAACCACGCCAATGAACTCAATAACAAACCTAACGATCTAAGGCGCATGCGTTAAACCATTAGACCACCCAACCCGATTTAGTAGTTTTGAGAATTTGTTGAAATGCGAAATACTGCATGTTATAAATAATCGATTATAAACTTCTGTGGACCAACAAATTGTGAGTTGCAATTTCAATCCAAGTTGAGTAATTCTAAATTTTAAGAATCGCACGTTGCATTGCGAAACCGTGTGTAAGAGGAGACGTAGTACGAAAACGTTAACAAACTTATTTTCGTTTACTTAGGGGCCGTTGCGAAAGGGGCCTATGACTTGTACATGTATTTGAGGTTACATTTTTGGGCAAAATTGAGTTAAGGTAATATTGACTCGGTAAGGTGGAAAAGTAAGATTACAGAAAAGGGTAAACAGCATAAGCAACGACACTCGGATGATAATCCATTAGAGCAGGAGCGAAGATAAGGATAAATATGAAATCATATCACATTTAAAAAATCACTGCAATTTCTGGTTGTGTGGATTTCTAGTCCATTGCTCTAAAGCGTTAGTTTCGTATAGTACGACAGTCATCTAATCAATTGTACGCCTGTCAGTTCAAAAATGGCTCGTTCGTTAAGTAGAGACTAAATCCGTTTTTAAACCCCAACGTCTCGTCTGTACATTTTGTAACCAACTGTCACTGACGTGCTTTATCTGATTTTAGCTTGAAAGCCACAGTTTCTGTTGAATGTAAAGCGGGTTACTACGGGTCAAAGTGTACAGTGCTGTGTTTTTATTCTGATGGAGACAGAGGTCATTATAGATGCCATAATTCTACAGGAGCCAAAATCTGCCTTCCTGGTGAGATTATATTGAAAAATTATATTCAAAGAGACATCATTAAGAACAAAATGTATTAGTCCTACAATTATTCCACCTGACAATTCTGACTTTCGTTGTTAAAATTATTCACGCAGCTACTTTTTCTATCATTTCCCTCGTCCATTGTTCGTCTGTTAACAATCTGCACTTTAGCGCACGTCTTGCAAGTGAAGCTCCTCGAAAGTTCAAATTCGGTCAAATATATCTTGCTCAAACCCATCTTTTGACTTTTTCTACTAATTAAACCCCGAAATGGATTCAGACTAAATTTGGGAATTGATGATGCTTGGTAGCGATTATTCAGAATTGTTAATGTTTAGCACGATTGGGGCCAGAAAGTCACGTTGGCTCGGTGAGTAAGACGTTGACTCGCTAACCTGTTCGATCCCCATGTTTTACGGGAAAGTTCATCGGGATTTCCGGCGTGGTGCACGCTCACCGTTCGGCCGTCCACTCCGCCCGCCCCCCCCCCCAAAGTATGATGGAGGACCTGACCAGGGACAATGTTTAGTCGTTCGGTTATCCCGTGTACACCCTTGGAAGCTGGAATTCGATATAAGAGTAGGACATAGTGCCACTGTCCGGGCATCATAGCACATTGTATGGCGTATGTCCGTCTTCAATAGCCCAGTCAGATCACCGCTCGTCCACCATGACCCCCATCTTTTTTATGGGAATATGTAAACATTATAAATATATTGCAAATACATGTCTTGTACAATTTTTATGACGGTGTTGATATTTTAAAGAGTGGATGTGTTTCGTATTTTAAAGGTTGGACGGGCATAGACTGTAAACTAAGTATTGATGATTGTGTTGGTTTTACTTGTGAAAATGGTGGAAGTTGTTCAGATCGGCATCTCAGAGCTTTCTGCTCCTGTGCTAGCGGATTTACAGGTAACAATAAATACTTATAGTCTTTAGGGCTAAAAAACGCGAATGGTGAAATTGTTCTTTCCTTAACGCTTTGAACTGTTTATGTCTCTCTTATCAATTCAGGGGGTAGATGGTCGAATGGTTAACGCGTGCGCGTTCTATGTCATTGAGTCAACTAGCGTGGTTTCGATTTCCCCGTTGTATGTGACAAAGAGTAGGGTCATCTGTCCAACCTCGTGGGTTTTCCCCGGGTCCTCCGTTTTCCTCCCACTGATAAAGACCCATACGCACAAGCGAATTATTGAATTAAAATTGAACCATATTTTAATCCCGAAATGACCAAGTTTGTGTTGAGTGGACGTTAAACACCATTTCTCTTTCTCTCTTATCAATTCACTTTCCGGGTTTATTTTCAGTGTTTGTTTTACTCGGGAAAGTCGAACGTTTACTTCATTCGCGTTACATACGTCGTAAAATTTTATTAATCTCAAATATTTTTTTATGATCAGTAGTTTATAGCTAGTAATGAAAAGATGTCCATTTGCTGACCTACTGGGAACTTAATATTAATTCGTATAGCCCCTGTCTCAATGACTCGACGATAACCCATGAAAAGAACCTATTGTTTACAAGGGAAATAATCAATTTTAAATATAAACTCATTTCGCATCCGTCAACTTCGCCATGAGAGACTATATATTTGACACGGACGGAAAAATAAATTTGCAGTGGAATTACAATTCTAATCGGGGAATCGCATCTTAGTTCCTATTTTCGAATCTTAAAATCTACGATAAATACGCCATTTAGAGACATGAAATGAAATGAAATGAAATGGGGTTTAACGTCCTACTGTTTTGCTCCGAACTGGGCTAATGAAGACGGGCATACGCCAAGCAGTGTGCTATGAGGGAAATTTTGCCCGGACAGCGGCACTACGGCCTACTCTTACATCGAATTCCAACTGTCAAGGGATCTTTTACGTGCACGCCAATGTGTACTTGTCAGGCCCTCCGTCCTGCATCACTGACAAGGGGAAACCACGCCGGAAAATCTGGATGAACTTTCTCGGCCAATGCAGGGATCGAACACCCGACCTCCAGGCTAGCATTTAGAGACAGGTTAGTCTTATAAATAAGATGTGATATTTGAACAGCATAAACAGCCATTGTTTGTGGTTGACAGGATAGGATGCGTGTTCTATTGTATTCGTTGTGGTGTTGCAGGTATTCCTGGACGACTCCTATCCATATTCAAAGTGGTGCAAGGGATTTTCCCTTTTCCCAAATAACTGGATTATTCGACTAGTCCTAAATCGGAAACATATAATAATTCGAAATTATACCCAAATTTGCCGCATCTTTCCAAATTGGGATTATTTGGCTATTAATTAGGATCCAGTTGAATTTTAGAGTCGCAGGGTTTATGAGCGTTATAACCCTGTCGTCACATAACTCGTGTCACTTTAGGATTTTAATTATCATAATTATCGAAATTCTATGTTTCACATAAATTCGACGTGAAACATTGTAATACTTTACAAAGCTCGGAAAAAGTTTTACAGTCAATTTTATACATGCTTATTGCCTCCGCCCCCTTAAGAAACAAATACGAGAGTAAAATGGAACAAGAATCGATTGGGACGTCATCACAGCCATCTTGGAAGTGTTATGCTATATCAAAAATCAAAATCCGTCAATCGACGCACGATTGTGAAAAGAACAAACATGTCGATCATCTTTGGCTTTTTCAAAGAGCGTTGCCCCGAAGAACAAGATAAGTAAATCTTTTAGAGGCATTTAGTAACTGGATAGAGCAATACACAAAAACACATACTTATGGAAAAACAGCTACTTATTTATTTGGACGACGTTTCGAAGAGTATTCTCTCAACGTTATCAAGCTAATACAGTAATACAAGCTGTATTAGCTTGATAACGTTGAGAGAATACCCATTCGAAACGTCGTCCAAATAAATAAGTTTTGTGTAAAATAAGTAGTGTTTGGGACCTAGTTCCATTCTAAAAATATACCAACTATAATTATTCAATGATAAGTATAATTGAATGCTATAATGTAATGTAGTAAAAGAAATAAAAGTGGATTAATAATATATTTTTGCTTTTACCGTGATTTCAGGTAATAAATGTGAAGTTGACATCAATGAATGTAGCAGTAACCCATGTCAAAATCAAGCAACATGCATTGACAAACCGAATCATTACCAATGTAATTGCACCAAAGAGTGGAAAGGAATTAATTGCGAAACAGATATCAATGAATGTCTGACATCACCGTGTCAGCATGCTGGCATTTGTATCAAACCAAAAAATGGATACCAGTGTCGGTGTAAGAATGGGTGGGCGGGGAATAATTGTGAAACAGACATTGATGAATGTCAGTCATCTCCATGTCTAAATGGAGGGATTTGTGCGGACCAATTAAACCAGTACCAGTGTAACTGTCGGGGTGGATTTACAGGTGTTAATTGCGAAACAGATATAGACGAATGTCTGTCACTGCCTTGTCTCAATGATGGAAATTGTATCAACCAACTGAATCAATATAACTGTGTTTGCAAAGGCGGTTGGACGGGGTTTAATTGCGAATCAGATATAGACGAATGCCTATCAAGGCCTTGTGTGAATGATGGAATCTGTATTAACCAACAGAACCAATATACATGCACTTGTAAAACAGGGTGGACAGGCCTTAATTGTGAGACAGATGTTGATGAATGCAAATCTTCACCCTGCCTCAATGAGGGTACATGTGTCAACCAACGTAGTCAGTATTTATGCCACTGTAAGGCAGGGTGGGTGGGGCTTAATTGTGACGTTGACGTCGATGAATGTCAGTCATCCCCTTGTCTCCATGGTGGATCCTGTATAAATGAACAGAACCGTCATGATTGTATATGTAATGAAGGGTGGACGGGACTTAATTGTGAATTTGACATTGATGAATGCGAATCGTCGCCTTGCCGAAACAACGGCATATGCCTCAACAGACAAAACCACTTTCAGTGTAATTGCAAGGATGGATGGTCGGGACCGCAATGTGAACTTGATATTGATGAATGCCTTTCATCTCCCTGCCTCCATAATGGCAAATGTAAAAATGAAGTGAACCAGTTTTCATGCCAATGTACACCCGGTTGGGTGGGACCTCATTGTGAAGTTGACATCGACGAATGCAGGTCATCTCCTTGCCTCCATGGTGGATCTTGCATCAATCAAGAAAACCAATATTATTGTAATTGTAGCAAAGAATGGAAGGGGAAAAACTGTGAGACAGATGAAGACGAATGTCATTCTTCGCCATGTCAGAATGGTGGCTTTTGTAATAATACTATAGGTGGATTCACCTGTTCATGTCCAAATGGAGTACTCGGTAAGTAGATTAAATTGTATGGTTTAAAATCAAAGTAGCACATATACAACAGTAATGATTAATATGGAGTCATAATGATACCGCTGGTTTTAGTACCCATCGACAGGGGAAGGGGTGGGAAGTGTGGATTATTGGGTGGTGTACGTTTCCACTCCTCTTATGGTGTCTAAACCGAGATTATGACTGACACCAATCGTATAAATTTATTATCTCGACATAAACATAGATTTCGCTTGACAAAGGTCGAGTTTTATTCTTATCACCGGTCGGTAAACATCATATCAGCTTGTTTGGATTCAGATAAAATCAGATCCAATACAGTGGAATATCTAACGGAGCTTTAGTTCAACGACGACAATCCATAGACACTGGATCTAAGTTAATTTAATTGATATAAACACAACACCCAGTTATTTTAATTGATTTGCGCCACATCGCAGTCAGGTTGACTGAATGTTCAGGGCTATAGAAAACGATTATTATTATTATCTGGTGGTTATGAGTGACGTAACAATATCTATACAATTTAAGAGGTCTGTTTACATTTTTTGGGTTTGGTTTCAAGCAAATGCCTATAGCTGAACACACAATTAGTTGCATCTTAACATTCGTTCTCCGCATACCTAACATTTAAACACACCTAATTCAATTAAATCTATAATCGATAATTTTATTCTTTTATCCAAATCAAAGTGGTCTAATAACGTATTGCATGAACTATGGAATAAAAATATGTACAGTGCATGTTTAAAAATGACATTGATACACGTCAATACTATACTATACTATTCTTTATCAACTGAAAATCTTTTGATAATAATTGTTTCTGAATGCCTTTACAAGAAAATATATATGTATTCTAGGCACATTTTGTGAAATTGATATAAATGAATGTAGCAGTAATCCATGTCAAAATAAAGCAACATGTATCAACAAATTGAATCTTTATGAGTGTAACTGTACTGCAGGATGGACAGGTATTAACTGTCAAACAGAAATTGACGAATGTCAATCATCACCATGTCAACATGGTGCTACCTGTCTAGATGATGTTAATCACTATACATGTTTGTGTCCATATGGTACATCAGGTAAGATCGTAAAATATCGATCCTCAGCGATCAGAATCAAGCTCTGATATATTTTGACCACCAATAAGGACCGTCTTTAATTAGAACATCCACAAAGTCATCGAAAGAAGAAAACAAATTTTAGCAAAGTCGGGCTAAATTTAGTGAATATAGGGGATGGTTTTCCTTCATGAACAACTATTCCATATATGGATACCTACAACTAATCAGCCTGATTCGGACGCAATAATATTTTCCCATATAAAATATTAAATGTTATACCTTGTCATTTTCATTACATTTTAACACTGATCGTTTTGTGGGCTGCCCCTCTCTCTTCATGGCACGTGCAGATAAAGCCTGTGTTAAGATGTAACCGATTTGTTTTCAACACAGTCTGTCAAACTTCCGCTTAATCCTTTCAAAACAAAAATCTTATAGAACTGACCCCACAGATTCAGCTACTTTTCAAGCATCCGTCCCCATGTCTCACAAATGAACTGTTTATATAAACAATTTTTTGACAAACTATTTATGTTTACAGGCTTATACTGTGAAATAAATTATGATGAATGCGAAAGTTCACCTTGTCAAAATGGAGGAAATTGTACAGATAATGTTGGCGGTTTTACGTGTGGATGTTTAAATGGTTTTACTGGAGTAGTTTGTGAAACCGATATAAATGATTGTCATTCTACGCCATGTTTTAATAATGCTACGTGTATTGACCATGTTGATATGTATGAATGTATATGTCAACCAGGATATAATGGTATGTATAGCTATGTACCGGGGCCACAGTGGTGTCGTTGTTTTTAAAAATGTTCAAAGTTTTGCTAACATTTTCGTTACCGCAAAGGTGACGGTAGCACATAGTAACGCCGCATAATAAAATAAGCGAAAGTGCTAGTTTTTTTCAAAAACTTTTATATTTTTGTGTATTTAATACCTAAGAGTAGTTATATATGGTGTACATATTGTGTAAGGGTTACGCTGCGTCATTGTGGTGTCACCACAGAGTCACCATACGTACTACCTACGCCAGGGTAACCTACGCTCGCGGGCGACAGCCGGGATAATTCCTTAAATTTTTAACTCCCCCAATGTCTAAAATGTAACAGTCACAATATTTTTTTGTACTTTGTGTTTTTGTAGTATTTCGCATTTAGCTAAAGATTCAGATCTGGTTAACTGATGTTCAGAGATCCGACCCACTAAACGCTATTTACTGTTTACTGAGGTACGGAACAATGGCGACGCTAATGCAAGCCACGGTATGCATAAATCGTCGTTGGACCGATTCCTAGTGTTGAATCACCATATCTTTTATTTACAGGTACACACTGTGAGCTGGATGTTGATGAATGTGAATATAATCCATGCTTAAATAACGCTACTTGTTTAAACGAACCGGGAACATTTAGCTGTGAATGTCCTGTAGGTTTCGGAGGCGCATTTTGTGAAGAGGATTTCTGTGGCACGTATCCTTGTAAAAATAACGCTACTTGTATTGGGGTGTTTAATGGTTTCAACTGCAGTTGCTCCGAAGGTTTTAATGGAAGTCTATGCGAAGAAAACATAGACGAGTGTGCTATCAATCTATGTCAAAATAATGCAACATGTGAAGACGTCGATAATGGATTTGTATGTCACTGTTTGACTGGATTTACCGGTGAGCACATCATGGTTATTTATATGTTATACTGTCTTTATATATGCACCGATTTTGTAACACGATAAGTATTATCAAGGATTTTTAAATAAAGTCCTACTTAGTGTATCGAAGGTCGTTACCTACAATTGGGTGGCAACTAGATTTCTGTGAGTGGTGTCAAGTGCTTGGGAATGCATACTCGGCCATAGTTGGCACCCCCAGTAGTCGCTTCCCCGCTAAGGGCTCATATTAGTATATTGTGTTTGAATCATGGGTGGCGTCTTTGCATGTGATCAATCAATCGCAAGGGCCAGCCCTTAAAAGAGTCGAGCGGGCCACGATTCGGCAGACACCATTGGACCTTCTGAGATGTGAGAGATACCTTGAAGTTGTTTTAATTAAGTCGCTCAGTCGTGCACCTCTAAAGAGACGTATTAGTATTATTGCTGATGTTTGGACACACGCTTTTATATGTATTATCATGGGTGATTGTAAACTGTGCATTAGGGATGCATTCTGTTATATAAACACATATTAAGAAGAATATTGTTTTCGGCGAGTTTTGTATCAATAGAACACAACGAGATGTCAGAATATTCAGGTCATATATTGAAGTCGAAATGGTAAAGTACATATCGAAGTTCAGTGGTGACCAGGGTAGTGTCACGTATTGTCATATTTGGAACGCGCTGGTTCTAATGCCGATGATAAACTTTACCAAAATTTATCATTTAGGGTTTGATGTGTGAAATACATAAATTTATCATTACAGGTTTAATGTGTGAAATAGTTATAGACCATTGTATTAATAATACATGTTTCAATAAGTCAGCATGTGTTAATAAATTAGATGGTTATTATTGTAACTGTCTTGATGGAAAGACAGGTAGGTTATTTCAAATATTGATAAAAGGACATTAACCCAATGATAAACGCCCCTACCTTCCTTCCCCAAATTGATTCATACTAAGATAGAATCCCTATGAAACCAACTTCCAAATAAGTGTGACATCTGGTTATGATCCCGCTAGAGATGGAGAAAAACATTTGGAACTTCAATATCCAACCATAAAAAAAGTGTGTTAAAATCAATGTATATGTACCTATACACTAACTAGATGGATTGTTGCATCAAAGTAGTACATATTTATGTCGAATACAAACTCGATTTAAATAAAAAAAAATGATTATTTACTCTTTTTATACACTTGTTGAATTAAGAATACTCTACATCTACTGTACATTATTGATGCTGATTTGGTAGGCTACTGTAATATTAAAAGCAAATGTATAAGAATGCTAGGAATAATTTACTATTTTTCAGAGTTAAAAGTACCATTCTTTGTAAGAGGAAATTTAAATGAAAAGGATAAATTAATACTAAGGGAGGGTATGCAAAATGTTTTAGATAAGAATAGTAAATATGAGGGAGCTGAGGTGAAGATACATGTGAAAACTGAAAATTTCTATGGCGGACAGAGGTGAGTCTTCCATCTGGAAGTCGTTTCATGTTAATTGAGTGAATGGAGCGACAAGAACGTTCTAGGTTGGATCAAATAGAAATAAAGCGGGGTTTAACGTCTTACTTGTCGCCACCGACCGTACTAATGAAGACGGGCGAACACCATACAGTTTGATTTGAGAGAAATTTTGCTAGGACAGCAGAGTTGCGGCCTGCTCTTATTTCGAATTCCAACTGTCAACGGTTCTTTGACGTGCACTTCAATATGTACCCGGGACCGTTGGTTTTTCGTTTCATACGATTAGAAACCCAGTCTTTATTAACGGTGATATATACAAGTCAAAGGAGCAACACGTGATAATATTAGGCAGGACAATGAACTTCAATGTACATATAAAAAAACAACAACAACCAAAGCAAAATACCGTAACGATTTAAACAATTAGTACGCATACTGCTAATGGGTTATTCGTTAAATTGTGAGGGTTGGGCGAGGAGTGTATCACGTGCACTTCAGATCATAAGGTGTGTTCTCTCACAATGTATTTATTATTCATGTTTACTGTTTTTCAGTGAGGAAATCGTTATGGTGATGTTTAGCGTTTCTGTTAATGAAACATTCATCTTGGATAATAAAATTACCAAACTCATCAATGAACTGTCTGTGGATGGATTTTGTAGTTATTTCCCCTTTCAGATTTATACTGGAAAAACATACTTACGGAGACAAGAACCAACAAATGTAAGTATATTAAGTACGTATAGCAACCGAATCCGACACTACATCCCCTCCTCCCGCCATTTAATGGCTTCTACTAATTTATTGTTTAAGTGGCATTTAGTAACTGAACTGGAATAACACATGACACAATCATATGGGATTTTATTTATTCATCATCATTATGTCTGTGATGTGACAGTTACTATCACAGATTGGATAAAAAGTGGGTCGTTCTTGCTTTAATAGCTCACGAATAGATAATGTTCAGATCTTCTTAAAATCGGGGCCACCCGATGGTCAAGGGCGTGCATTATGGGTTTGTCGTGTTAATAAATGCTTAAATAATAATTTTGAGGCCAGAAAAAAGACCTGCAATTGGCAGATTATTCGAAAACTTGTATTCCATATCATTTTTTATTCTACTAATCTTCGTTTAACAGAGTATTGTTTAAGTGGCATTTAGTAACTGAACTGGAATAACACATGACACAATCATATGGGATTTTATTTATTCATCATCATTATGTCTGTGATGTGACAGTTACTATCACAGATTGGATAAAAAGTGGGTCGTTCTTGCTTTAATAGCTCACGAATAGATAATGTTCAGATCTTCTTAAAATCGGGGCCACCCGATGGTCAAGGGCGTGCATTATGGGTTTGTCGTGTTAATAAATGCTTAAATAATAATTTTGAGGCCAGAAAAAAGACCTGCAATTGGCAGATTATTCGAAAACTTGTATTCCATATCATTTTTTATTCTACTAATCTTCGTTTAACAGAGTATTGGTATATGCAGTTTTCGTCCGGACATGAACAAAATGCAAGACTGTTATATATTATTGAAACTTTAAGATACAACGGAACATGGTTTACTTACATTTTTACACTAAGACTGAACACGGATGAACTTAAATTTTTCAGACATTGCCTATCAAATGGATCGTTGCTATTTCAACGACATCGGGAATCATCATAGTTTGTGGTTTGATGACGTATTTCCTGACCGTATATTTCAGGTAAATTATATATTAAAATTTTTATTTCGTTAATTTTAGATGATTTCTAGTTTATGAAACATTTCAACTGAAAACATTCGTTGGCGCTTGACAGTTTATATTTTCACCGATGGTACAAGTGGGCTGTTGCTGTCAACCAATATAGATAATAAACATTCAACAGTTTTAATACTCCTCGATCTAAGTGCGGCGTTCGATACTATTGACCAGATCCTTCTGATTTACCTTTTGACGTTCAGATTTGGAATCCAAGGTACTGCTCTCAAGCGGTTTAGATCTTACCTATCAGACCGTACGCAATCAGTTAAAATAAATGAGTGTCGATCATCTTCAACTTTGCTAAAATGTAGAGTGTCAAGGGTTCTATTCTTGGACCAGTTTTATTCACTCCCTACACCGCACCTATCGGGGATATAATTCGTAGAAATAATACTAATTATCAATTATACGCAGATGATACACAACTTTATCTGGCATTAAACAAATCCAATGTGGCTACTGAAAAATCGAAAGAATTGAGTCAGATGTTGTTAATATACGTCATTGGATGAAATGTAATTTTTTAAAATTTAATGATGACAAAACAGAAGTCATACACATAGGCAACAATAAAATTTTGGAGTCCGTCCACCTTGATCATGTTTCTATTGGTGATGTTAAAGTAAAACCAACTGAATCTGTAAAGAATTTAGGAGTCTGATTTGGCAGTAACTTTCAATTCAACGCCCATATTAACTTGACGTGTAAGAAATTAAATTTCCATTTATATAATAAGGAAAACTACGTCCATTTATTGACATCGACAATGCTAAAATGTTGGTTAATGCCTTTGTTTTATCGAACTTGGATTACTGTAACTATCTTCTGTTCAATTTACCGGCTTTGCAAATCAACAAACTACTAAAGCTCCAAAAACCGAGCAGCTCGGATCGTAACTGAAACAAAACCACGTGAACAATTTTCTCCTGTGCTTAAACAGCTACACTGGCTCTCGGTTAGAGAAAGGATAATATCTAAGATAAATGTAATTGCATACAATACACTGAATAATATGGACTCTCCTAAGTATCTCCAAGAAATTATTACACCCTACACTCCCTCGCGTTCACTTAGCTCACAGAATGAGAACCTTCTCGTATGTCCTCTAGTGAAAACTAAAAGTGGAAAGAGAACTTTCGCCCATAGTTGCCTAACATTATGGAATTGGCTATCAAAAAAGACTAAAGACTCTAAAAACATGACATCTTTTAAGAAATCTCTTAACTCTTTAAATCTATTTACCCTTAGTGTCAATAACTATTTTGTTTATGGTAATTTTACCAGTTCGGACATTTATTCCTTCAATGTGTTTAAATGTTTATCGTGTCATGGTTATTTTTCATCTTTTAAAGATATCTTATGAATATAGCGCTCTTGAGCAACCATTTGTTTGGATATTGGGCGCTTTATAAATATATTATTATTATTAACATTTATTTATATTAAAGAAATTGGTCGGTGATTATTTTTGTGACTATTGCCAAAATATTGCCTTCTTCACAGCCGCCACGAGTTTAAAGTCAGCATATATAGAATATATAGCTATTTAACGCGCAAAGAAGGGTATGCTTTACTCTTTGGTGAGTTGTATTTACTGAATTTAGCCTATTGACGAGCTTTTATTTTCTTTTCTAGGAAAAAGAGACAAGCACATTTTGACAGCTTATATAATGATATAACTGAACAGGCATTTGATAATGTTATGTATTTAGATAGATGTGACAAAGTGCCAAACAATCAGGATAATTCTGTTGTGGACCATATTGAATAACATAGTGATTAAATGAATGAATACTATGTTATATCGAACGCAACGGACCAATGACAGCCATCGCAATGTTTTATATTTTATTTCACGTTTAATTCAAGATGCATTATGTTACGGTGGCTGATAAGGGACATGAAAAATAATATAATTTATTTTGTATAATTTTCACCCAAGTCAATTTTAATTTTCACCCAAGTCAATTTTAATATAATTTGTTTTTTATAATTTTCACCCAAGTCAATTTTAATATTATTTGTTTTTTATATTTTTCACCCAAGTCAATTTTAATTTCCACCCAAGTCATTTGTAATTTAATTTGTTTTTTATAATTTTCACCCAAGTCAATTTTAATTTTCACCCAATTCATTTCTAATATAATTTCAATTCTGTTCAATTTTCACCCAGCGCGTGATGTCATCTCAATTAGCCTCGTTTCCAATGTAATGTATTATGTTTTATATTATATGGTTCTCATACTGTAATTAGCAGATTGCAATGTATTATGTTTTACCTTATATCAAATAGATATTTTTATACACCCACATTTTCATATGGACGTATATTGTCGTCACCCCTGTCCGTCCGGACGTCCATCCATAATTTGTTTGTGGACACTATACAGGTCAAGATTCTTATCCGATTTTGACGAGACTTACAGGTTATCTCCAAAAGATCTCGGTTTCTTTCGATATTAGCATGTATCGGATTAAAACTTCATGAATTATGGCCCCTGATCGTACGAAAAGTCACTTTTTTTCTAGCGTGTGGACACTCTAGAGATCACAATTTTCATCTGGTTTCTTTCAATATTCCCGCTTTTCGGATCTTAACTTTCTGAATCTCGTTTTAGACTGTGGTTCCTCTAGAGGTCACAATTTGTATCAGATTTAAAAAACCGTTTGAATATATCACCGTTACGCCCTAATGATGATTGAGTTCGAATTTTCTGAAAATCTGATCGAAACTGGCGGACAAAATGGTCGCCCCTCGTACGCAAACTTTGAGAGGGAGAGAGAGAGAGAAATGGGGTTTAACATCCACTCGACACAAACTAGGTCATTTCGGGACTAACATATGATTTAATTTTATTTCAATAATTCGCTTGCGCGTAGGTGTCTTTAGAAGTGGGAGGAAAGCGGAGGACCCGGAGAAACCCCACGAGGTTGGACGCAAACTTTGATGAAACTTAAAATATATATCCCAAATATCTCAGTCCATGTCGATATTCGCGCATTTCGGACCATAACTTCATGGATTATGGCCCCTGATTGTATGAAAAATAGCTTTTTTTATTGCTTGTTCTCAATCCACCTCTTGCAAAATATGGGCGTATCTTGCCTGGCAACTACTGGTTCTCATACTGTAATTAGCAGATTGCAATGTATTATGTTTTACCTTATATTAAAGAGATATTTTTCTCATTCTGTAATTACATGTATCAGATTGTAATAGATTATGATTTACCTTATATCAAATATTTATTTTTCTCATACTTTTATTATCAGTTCTGGTTTAAATTATATATGTCACCAGAAAAGCCATAACTACTGTAATAAAGATTTTTGATATTATAAAATGATGACTTTTTAGGTGAACACAAGCAGGCCTGTCAGCGTATCAGAGCCAGAAATGAGGCCTGTAATTACATTTGATTTATACTTTATGGACTGAAATTATCACAAGATCTCTAATTCAAAGGGAAGAAATCTTGACTTTCATTAAATGTTCAGAATTGAAAGGGGGGGGTGCGAATAGTGAACGTGTGTGCATTGCATCATAAATGCAAGTGGCGTGGTTTCGATTTCCCGCTCGTACGTGGCAAGGAGTAGGGTTGTTCGTCCAGTACTCCAGTTTCCTTCCATTACTAAAGACCACTACACACAAACTGACTATTGAAATGAATGAATTATAGTCCTGAAATGACTATCGACTCAAGTATCTTGCGAGAACCTCCCTGGGGAGATTTGCTATATAAATAGGCCTATATTGGAAAGTGTAATAAACTTTTTTTTGAAAATATCCAAAAATTAAACTGAAAGGAAACACCAAATCCAGTTGAAGTGCCCCAAGTCCAAGAAAAGAGACCCTCTGTGTCCTGTAAGAAAAGGGGCCCTTTGACTTTATGGCAAAGCTATCTGTGTTTGTTTCCAGTAGTAAGGTCAAGATCCATGCGTGTGAGCCATCATTCATTAGTGCACATAGGCCAAGTTGTTTTTTGTTATCTCTTTCCAACAAACCGCGCTAAATTCTATGTCTGGATGTTCGGTAGCGTTGTCTATGATGGGTGCTTATATCAATATCCAGGCCCCTAGTACATTGGCGAGCATGTAAAATAACTCTTGACAGTTGAAATTTCACTTCGTGCCGCTGACAGAGGAAAATTTCCCGTCTGGCATACTGTATTCATTAACCCAGTCGGAGTAGGACGTAAAACCCCCATTTCATTTTATTTCAATGCGTATCACTGTCAGATCCCGACTAAGATTGTGTCGACCCCTGCACGTTTATTTTCCCAATGGCGGGCGAAAATTAGTGTTTTGGAAACGAGGCTAATTGAGATGACATCACGCACTGGGTGAAAATTTAACAGAATTGAAATTATATTACAAATGACTTGGGTGAAAATTAAAATTGACTTGGGTGAAAATTAAAATTGACTTGGGTGGAAATTAAAATTGACTTGGGTGAAAATTATAAAAAAACTAATTAAATTACAAATGACTTGGGTGGAAATTAAAATTGACTTGGGTGAAAATTATAAAAAAACAAATTATATTAAAATTGACTTGGGTGAAAATTATAAAAAACAAATTATATTAAAACTGACTTGGGTGAAAATTATAAAAAACAAATTATATTAAAATTGACTTGGGTGAAAATTACAAAAAACAAATTATATTAAAATTGACTTGGGTGAAAATTAAAATTGACTTGGGTGAAAATTGTAAAAAAACAAATTATATTAAAATTGTGGTTTCGAATCCCCGGTTGTACGTGACAAGGAGTAGGGTTGCCTGTCCAACCTCGTGGGTTTTCTCCGGTTTCCTCCCACAGCTAAAGATCCCTACGCGCAAGCGAATTATGGAAATAAAATTGAACCATATGTTAGTCCCGAAATGACCTAGTTTGTGTCGAGTGGACGTTAAACCCCATTTCTCTCTATATATATTAAAATTGACTTGGGTAAATATTAAAAAACCCAAATTATATTATTTTTCATGTCCCTTATCAGCCACCGTATTATGTAGATTTTAGATAAAGAGCTTGCCGTTCCTGCCTTAACAGTTCAAAAATAGATTGATTACTATGGATTAAAACATTTTGTCTGGAGTCACTCTACTTTGTTCGACATTTTTATTATTTGTTAATGCAGCTGCAAGTCTGATTGGATGGTTGGAATTCAGGTCGACATAGAGTGGGATTTCGGTTGCAAACCGATTGGAAACTTTTAAGCTGCTTAATTCACTGGGTAGAATAGCAGAAAAACGCAATTGCCGCGGTTAAATTTTCTAAATTTTCTCGGGGAGCGCGAGTCCCCCATACCCCTCGACGATTGATTGGATTGTTTGGGATTTGGGATTAAGGTAAGTGACCTAAGGTAGGCTGTATTGGACGACATTCAAGTTGCTGTATTCACGGGCTGCAAAAGAAGGAAAACGCGTTTGAGGCAGTTAAATTTTCAAACATTCATCGAGCTCGTACGCCTATATATCACGGGACCATTTTATGTATAAATGTATCTGATATTTCTAGATTTATCTTGGTAAGAGGACACCGATGAAACATGAAACACTCTTCTTAAATAACTTCGGGTTATTAAAGAAAATAAAAGTCCCGTCATAATCCAAATGTATAAATAATTAATTTATTTATCATTGATGTTATAAATACGTATACAATTTCATACACCGCCTTTATTATATTATATATACTAAACAACACAAAAAAAAACCAAAAAAAAAACGTCAGAACAATTTCAAAATCAGAGGGGCACATTAATCAACTCATTCTAGAAAACGACTTACTAAATGGATCAAAACAATTTTTTGTGAACAGTATGTTGACACATTAGTGATTAATTCATCACAATTCCAAGACATTACGAGAAGGTTTAGAGTCTATCTGTAAAAAGTCTATACATCAAAATCTAGTGTGTCCACCGCGAGTGTCAATAACAGCAGCGCAGCTTCTGTACATTGAGCGGACCAGACGATTGATGAACGCCATTGACACCTGGAACCACACTCTCAGAAAAGCGTGGCGCCATCAATCGGCTGTGCTTGGTTTCGGTACGACGTTATAAAAAAGTCTCCTCTGCATTTCATCCCAAAGATGTTCAATCGGGTTTAAGTCCGGACTAAGGGCTGGCCAGTGCATAACGTTGACACCGTTCTGCTGTAGAAAGTCACGAGTAACTCTGGCGGTGTGGGCACGGGCGTTGTTATGCTGGAAAACATTGTTTCGATGACGTGCTAAATGTGGTATGACGTGGGGTCTGAGAGCTTGATCGATGTAGCGCACTGCTGTGATGCCGCCTCCTCTCACAGGACCCACTCTCTGGTTCAGGCCGATTCCACCCCAATCCATTATTCTTGGACCTCCCCATGAGTCTCGTTCAATGACACATTCATCAGAATATAGCTGGGCACGTCGACGCCATATTCTCGTCCTGCCATCTGCAGTTGATACGCAATACCGAATCCCATCTGTCAACAGAACAGTTCTCCCATGCATGTGTCGCCAGTTCTGGCGTTTTTGGCCAAACTGTCGACGTTCACGTCGATGGCGAGGGATGAGGATCGGTCCAAGGTAAGGTCTATGGCAATGGATGTTCTCTCTGTGTAAAGGGATTCTGCACGTGCTGTCGCACAACATGGCGGTCTTGTCGCCTTGTGGTAACCCTTGGTCTACCAGTTCGGGGGCGATCATCCGTGGTTTTGGTGACCTGCGAGTGATTGGCAACAGCTTGGGCAGTGTGGCCAGCGCCGAATCTTCCAAGCGCTTGGTTCCTCTGAGCTGTCGTGAGTCGTGGCATGCTGCTGACGTTGTAGTGTGGATGATTCAACCAGGTATGGGGGGTGCATTTTATAGAGCTGGTCCCGGTATTCAGCACGGGCAGCATGCGTTACATGAAAATCATGGAGAACACATTACTATCTCAGAAGTCAGGTTTGCGTTTTTGACAACATTTCCTGGGTTCAATTCTGTGTTTTGGAAGGAGCATAATTGCTCAGGTAAAGTTGGAGATGTGGTGACAAACATTTGGCAAGTTTTATGCAATGCATCTATTCAGAGTAACATACCAACCTGACGTTTCTTTTGCTGCTTAGTATATTATTATTGCCATACTTATTCAACGAGGACGTTACTCAAATATCTGTATATTTTATTTTTAGACATGAGACGGCGATAAGGGTCATACAAGGTCTGACTATTTATTTTATTCGTGCAAACCAGTGAGGTGTTACATAGAAATAGAAGATGTTAATACGCTAGCTTGCCAATATCACGATTCGCGCAAGGAAGACGCGTTTGCGGCCATCAAATTTTTCAAATTTTCTATTGGAGTGGGTGGGGGTGGGGGGTCCTATACAGTAAGCTCCGCGGAGAGTTTTTAGGGCATTTCGGGTTCTGCCCCCTAAAACATTCATTGACCCGCACGCCTATGATCCAACAGCAACAGCGATCTAATCCTGCCGCACATTCTATGTCTCAGCAATGAACCTCAAGTGTCGTATACTTTCCTGTTAATTTGGTGAAAAAGTAACAGAATACTTTAAAGATACATTATGGGAGATTAGATAAAGAGCTGGCAGTTCTCACTATAATAGTTAAGAACGAGAAAGGGAATTTGCTAAAAAATTTCAGTCGAATTTATCCACTGTGAAACTGTCGCAGGCTAGCAATGACATCGAGAGTTGATTATGGCCTGAATAAGTTAATTAATGTCTAATTAATAATTTAGATAACATTTAAGGCCTAGAGAAAAACATGAAATGGGCAGATTTAGATCTTGCATAATGTATGTTTAATTATATAAATAATTGCATTACTTCGTTGAAAAATTGACAAAAATGTACAGCATAAGTGATGGCCAATGTCTCGATGTTCCAGTTACCTCGCTTGATCAACGGGCCCGGAATTACAATTTGAAAAAAATCAGTTGCGTTTAAAACAAACGAGTAGACAGGGAGCTTTTTTGGCCAGACTTATATTAAATTTCATTTTATTTTCATTGCACACGTTCAATTATTTGTTCAAATTGAAATATACTGATAACCATTACAATTTAAATCCGAATAAATCATTTGAAAAAGTTTATTATTGTCCTTCAAAGATTAATCAACATGCGTTTGACCAAAACTTGGGCACTCTTCAATTGGACATGCGTAAACGTCCCCGAGAATCGCACTGATAATAGGAAACACCCCCTTTTTACAGTCTTCAAATGTTAATGTGGTGATAGTTGTCCCAAAGTTAACAAGAACAAAACTGTCCACAACTAAGAGAAAAACAGGATGGTTAATATTGTAAAGGGATATTCAAATTGTCACAGTAAGGTATAATTTGTATGTGATAAATTCAATAGCAACACCCAACAGTTCAAATATACTTGGGACTTTCACAAAGCTGGCATTTTTCTAATGTTATATCAATTAAAGTAATTGTGTTCTCTTCTTTTCCTGAAAAAAAGAAAACTGTCCAACTTATAGAATAAAGAATAAACGTTACTTCCTGGTAAAGATTCAGCAAGAAAAAAACTATTAAATGGTCCAACTTTAATAATGTGTATTTCTCTTCTGTAGAATGCATTATTCGGGACACTTAAAAAGGTCCGGTATCTAAAGATCCGGGAGAATGTTAAGGCTACAGGCATTTGTTGTGTTTGGTTCTATTTTTGTGGAAAAGCTTAAAGTACGTAGAAATAACCTATTTTAGCATTACGGTGGTAAAATATGAATATTTTAGAAAGTTAGTCGCATATATATGAAAGGCCAGACAGCTCTTTACTTGATTTTCTTAATTCTTAATTCACAGTCCTTAATTCTTATTTCTTCATTTGTTGTCGTATTTCAAAATTTGTATACTAAAATTAACATTTGTACCTTTTAATCAATATTTGCTTTACAAATTTGACATATTTTTTCATATCAGATTTATAAATTGTATCTTTGTTTAACTTCGTTGTCTCGATTTTTTTTTATTAGGACGTTAAACCCCATTTCATTTCATTTCATTTCTCGATTTTTACGTCTACTGCTTAATGAGAAGGAAGAAGGAAATTGGGTTTAAACGTCCACTTCACACAAAATAGATCATTTCGGGATTAATATAGGGGTCATTAGCATTAGCAGTCGGATAAACCCGGAGAACCCGGAGAAAACCCACAATATTCCACAGACGACCCTACTACTACTCCTCGTCACGTAGAAGCGGGGAATCGAAACCATACCACTTGACGTTGTGCCAACACACCTCCGTCTTCATTAGGCAAGTCGGTGCAGAAAAGTAATACGTCAAACCCCATTTCATTTCATATGCCAGAATACACTGGATCCAGTATCTTGTCTTTCGTTTTATGTTTAGTACACAAATATTATAGGCTAGATAATTACTTGCACTACAGGTAACAGGTATCAACTTGACACCAATGAATCCCACAGTAACCTATGACAAAATCAAGCAATATGTATTAACAATGCCTCTAAAGATGGACATGACTTAATTGCCAAATAGATATTGATTAATGTCAATCAGCAGTTCAGTTCAGCACCTTGTCTCTGCGGAAGGAATTGTCTCCTGAAGCAACGGCTGCAAGTTTGACAAAATCTGGACGTTGCTAGATTACTTCTCAATTCCTGAACTTATAGCTTACGTTATCTACAGATATGTGAACAGTAGCGTCCAATCAGAGGTTGTGACAAAGCGACCTCAACGGAGACCTTGACATTGAACGAACCTTGAACTTTGCAATTCGATTATCACAGGTAGACATTTTATCTTGTCAGATGTAGTGAGAAAGCGACCTCAACGGAAACCTTGACACTGGACGAACCTTGAATTTTGCAACTCGATTATCACAGGTAGACATTTTAGCCTTTTTTATTTAATTCTTCGGGAGTATCACTTTCACAAATATCACAATGATCATCATGTGATGTTAAAGATTCTTGGTACCAGTGGTCGGTTAATGGACTATTAGAGTTCAAGAAATCACGAAAGTATGCCATCCATTCATCGGAACAGATTTTTGGATTGGCGAGGGGTCTCCGTAGAACACCTTACACAACCTGATAAATTCTCGCCCAAAGTTGTTCGCTCGTTTGTCCAGGTT